CCTCCTCCTCCTCCTCCTCCTCCTCCTCCTCCATCCTTCTCCTCCTCCTCTTCTCCCACGCAATTTCCTTATACTAAGATCCTCCTCCTCCTCGCACCCCCAAACGGGTCTGTAGGGCGGACCGGGCGTTTCGCCTGAGATACCCTCACTAGTCATGACTCCACCTTGGAATCTGCGACGGTTTCACGGATGAAGGGCGGGCCCCCTTGCAAAACATCCGCAACCGTGCCTCTGGGCACGGAGCGGATCCGGACCTCAAATTCTCAAATCTTCTGGGGCTTAGCGCGTGCCCAGGGCGTCTTCCCGCATGACTTGATCGGGACCAAGAGGGCTCTATATCGGCCCAAGAGGAACCCAGGAGGCCTCGCAGACGGCCCAAGAGGGCCCCGAGTCGCCGAAAGATCGCCTCAATACGCCCAAGATGGCCTCAACACGGCCCAAGATGCCCCCAGGACGCCCCCAGAGTGTACCAAGAGGCGTCCCAAGAGGGTCGCAAGAGGCACAAGTCATTACCAACCATCCTGTGGTGTTGGGTCCTCGTTTTGAAGAGACGGTCCCCGCGTTCCTCCTTCCTTCATCCTCCCCCTCCTCCTCCCTCCTCCCGTTACCACATCGGAGACCCCAGTGCCATCGTCCACATGCGCTCCCCGCACCGATTTCGGCACACCCCATCACACGCTTCGTGGCCGCATAGGGAGCTCCATCGTAGGCCCCAGTGGCTGCGCCCGCATGCGTCCCCCACACCAATGTAGGCACACCCCTCACACGCTTCGTGGCCGCATAGGGAGTTCCACCGAAGGCCCCAGTGGTTGCGCCCGCCTGCGTCCCCCACTCCCATTTCGGCACACCCCTCACACGTTTCGTGGCCCCATAGGGAGCTCCACCGAAGGCCCAAGTGGCTGCGCCCGCATGCGCCCCCCCACATCCATTTCGGCACACCCTTTCACACGTTTCGTGGTCCCATGTATGGAGCTCCACCGAAGGCCCCAATGCCATCGTCCGCATGCGTCCGCCGCACCCTTTTTGACCCCCCTCACACGTTTTGTGGCCCCATAGGGAGCTCCATCGAAGGCCCCAGTGGCTGCGCCCGCCTGCGTCCCCTCCCCACACCCATCGTCACACCCCTCACACGTTTCGTGGCCGCATCGGGAGCTCCACCGAAGGTCACAGTGGCGCCCGCATGCGCCCCCCACTTCCATTTCGGCACACCCCTCAAATGTTCCGTGGCCCCATAGGAAGCTCCACCGAAGGCCCCTAGTGGATGCGCCCGCATGCGTCCCCCACATCCATTTCGGCACACCCCTCACACGTTTCGTGGCCCCATAGGAAGCTCCACCGAAGGCCCCAATGCCATCGTCCGCATGCGTCGGCCGAACCCATTTCGACCCCCCCCCTCAGACGTTTCGTGGCCCCATAGGGAGCTCCATCGAAGGCCCCAGTGGCTGCGACCGCCTGCGTCCCCTCCCCACTCCCATTTCGTCACACCCCTCACGCGCTTCCTGGCCGCATAGGGAGCTCCACCGAAGGCCACGATGGCGCCCGCATGCGTCCCCCACACCCTTTTCGGCACACCCCTCAAATGTTCCGTGGCCCCATAGGGAGTTCCACCGAAGGCCCTAGTGGCTGCGCCCGCATGCGTCCCCCATACCTATTTCGGCACACCCATCACACGCTTCGTGGCCCCATAGGGAGCTCCTCCAAAGGCCCCAGTGCCACCGTCCGCATGCGTCCGCCGCACCCATTTCGGCACACCCCTCGCGGGGTTCGCGGCCCCACAGAGAGCGCCACCGAAGAAGACATTCACAATTGCGGTACTCACAACTGCATATAGTTGGGTCCTTCGCCAGGCTCATGGATCTTCATGACTCTGTTCCAACCATCCTGTGGTCTGGTGGTTTTTGTTATGCAGAGACAGCGCCCCGCATCTCCTCTTCTCTTTCCTCCTCCTCCTCCTCCATTCTCCCATACCTGCGTCTGCTCTCCGCATGTGCACCATTTTGGCGCACCCTTCGCGAGGATCGCGGCCCAATCGGGAGCTCCGCCGAAGGCCCCAGTGGCAAGGTCCGCATGGCGGACTCGGGCCAGTTCGGCACACCCCTCACAAAGACCGTGGCCCCACAGGGAGCTCCGCCGAAGGCCCCAGTGGCAGGGTCCGCATGGCGGACTCGGGCCAGTTCGAGGATCGTGGCCCCATAGGAAGCTCCGCCGAAGGCCCCAGTGGCAGGGTCCGCATGGCGGACTCGGGCCAGTTCGGCACACCCCTCACGAGAATCATGGCCCTACGGGGAGCTCCACCGATGGCCCCAGTGGCAGGGTACGCATGGCGGACTCGGGCCAGTTCAGCACACACCTCATGAGAAGCGTGGCCCCATAGGGAGCTCCACCGAAGGCCCCAGTGGCTGCGCCCGCATGCCGCCACCCCCCTACTTTGGCACACCCCTTTCACGTTTCGAGGCCCCATCGGGAGTCACGCCGAAGGCCTCAGTGGCTGCATTCGCATGCCGCCACCCCCCTCACTCCGGCACACCCCTCACACGTTTCGTGGCACCACAATTACGGAGCTCCACCAAAGGCTCCAGTGGCTCCGCCCGCATCTCCCGCTTCCCGGTGCCTGTCAGCTGCAAAAGGTTACATCAACATGTCACCCGTTTCGTCTGACCTCCGCGCCCCCTGCGGGCGACCCCAACGGCAACGCCCGCATGCCGGCCCCGCCCCATTTCGGCGCTCCATTCATTCAAGGGTTTCGTGACCCCGTAAGGGGTTGCAGCGCATGCGGCGGCATTCACATCTGCATATGGTTGGCTCCTTCGCCCAGATAATTTCGCGTCCTCGCCTTTTCGGCTTCCCGACGCTCCACGACGGCCGAAGAAGGCCCAAAGATCGCCCCAAGACGGCCTAAGAGGCCTCAAAGAAGGCAACAAAAATACCCAAGAGGGCCCCAGGACGGCCGAAGAGGGGACCAGATTCCAGATGGGAGACCCGAACTGACATTTCGAGCCTTCGGCCCCGAGGTTCCCCCCTGGATGCCCCAAGAGCCCCCAAGAGGCATCCAAGAGGCCCCAATAGGCCCCCAAGAGGCTCCCAAGAGGCTCCCAAGAGGCCCCACAACTGCCCCCAAGAGGCCCCCGAGAGCACTCCGAAGATACCCCAAGACGCATCCCTGAGAATCCCACCAGCCCTCTGGGCGTCGGTGGTTTAGAGCGTTTCCTCTTCCACCCCTCCTTCTTCCCCTTCGGGGAGGGGTTTACCCCTCTCCCTACCCCTCCCCACTGACCTGGACAGGGGGTTTCCGCGGCGCGTTGGAGCGCCCAAGATGGCCCAAGACGGCTCCAAGAGGGCCTCAGGGAGCCCAAGATACCCTCCAAGATGGCTCAAGATAGCGCAAGATGCCTCAAGATGGTCCCCATGATGTTCCAAGACGCTCCAAGAACTCTCCAAGACGGTTCCAAGTGCCCACAAGAGCATCATTAGGATGCATCCAAGAGGCCAAAATGCTTCAAAACCCTAGGGAAAATCAATGTTTTTGGTGTTCTCACTTTTTCGCTTGCGATGCACATCCGAGGCGTCAAGATGGCTCCAAGATGGCTCAAGATAGCTCCAAGAAGGGCCCAAGAGAGCCTCAGGATGGCTCCAAGAGCGGCCACGAGCGCTCCAAGAGCGATCCAAGAGGGGTCCAGGAAGCGATTTTTGGAGTTCCTGGGGGGGGCTCTAATTAAGGAACCCTACTTCCTTGGCCGATGTCCTCCACGATGGCCGCAACAGGCCCCCAGGATGCCCCAAGAGGCCGCAGGATGGCCCCAAGATGGCCCCAAGAGGCCCCCCAAGAGGCCCCCAGGAGGCCCCCAAGAGACCCCCAAGAGGCCCCAAGAGACCCCCCAGAGGCACCCAAGGGGCAAAGATGGCCCCAAAAAGCGCCCAGGAGGCCCCCAAAGGCCCCAAGATGGCCCCAAGAGGCCCCAAGAGGCCCCCAGGAGGCCCCAAAGAGGATCCCGAACGGCCCACAGAGGCCCCCCCGAGGCACCCAAGACGCCGAAAAGCCCCCCAGGACGACCCTCTACTCGCCTGGGCGTCGTTTCTGGACGGGCTGGTGGGGATACGCGAAGCGTCTAGAATGTTGACCCACAACCCAGGCACGGTGACGGGGTGGGCCGAAGGCCATTCGACAGCATCCGCCCTAGCGCCGCGCATATTCGCCTCTGAAAGTTGCCACAGTTTCAAGGACGGTGGGCTGGTGGCTTTCAAGATGTGGCTCTCGCCTCAGCGCCGCGCACATCCGCCATGCAATGCTGCAAATGTTTCAAGGATGGAGGGCGGATTCTGTTCAAACTGTGGTTCTCGCCTTAGCGCCGCGCACATTCGTCTTAAAAGTTTACAACAGCTTCAAGGATGAAGGGCGGGCCATTTTCAACATGTAGCTCTCGCCTTACGCTGCGCACATTCGTCTTGAAAGATTGTGACATATTGCGGGATGCAGGGCGGTTTCATTTCAAACTGTGACTCCCGCCTTAGCGCCGCGCACACTTGCCTTAGGCATCGCAGGGCTGAAGTCCAGTGAATGATGTCCTGGCACGCTCTTAGACTGTCAGGACGCAACAATCAGGTTGATCCGCGGCGTTGACGACCCAAGAACGGTGTTCTGGCACTATCTGGGAGTCAAAGCGACACTGTCCCGTTGATCCGCGGCGATGAAGCCCCAGGAACGGCCTGCTGGAGCGATTGAGGATCCTCAGACGGTTGTTATCTGATAGGCCATTTCCAGCCAAACAAATAACTCTTGTAGGAATTTCTAGACAAGGAGCTTGGAGGGAATCCTCATTGCTCGTTGGCGCGCCTTGGATTTACAGTGGTCCTCCTCCACGTACTCCTCACCTCCTGTTCCTTATAAATAACCCCTCCCTCTCGCACCTCGGGGCCAATCGAAAGGGCGAACCAGGCGTTTCGCCGGAGACTTCCTCACCAGTTGTGACCCTGGTGCTGAAACGTTGTCTTCAGTTTCACAA